AAAATATATGTGTGTGTGTGTGTATATATATATATATATATATATATATATATATATATATGCATTATTTTTTTTTGGTGGCTGGCTGGAACAGGAATCCGAGCTCCTGACCTTGGTGTTATAACACAATACTCTAACCAACTGAGCTAACCAGCCAGCCCAAAAAATAATTTAAAAACTGAAGTAAGTATATAGTATGGCCAACATATGTTTAAGAATATGTACATGTGAGATATATACAGGAAAAAGTGATTTTAAAAAATCTATTTCCCCAATACCTAAATATTTTAATAATATACCTTTATATGTGAATATATAAGTCCATGCCAAAAATTACTAATATTAGTAAGATGGCCAAGCCAGTTCTACCATGTAGGTAGTACTTATTAAAAATGGATTGGTAGACCAAAACCCAAAACATTGCATAAATAAAAGTATGGAAATTGTGTCCTTGACAAGATTTGCAGACCAACAGCATGGTTGTAATATACGGAGTTTAAACATCCTGTCTCTTCTTCCCCTAGATGCCACTCCCCCAGTAAAAAACACTGTGATGAGATAAGGGTGTTCCTCCTCTGTTACTGCCAGCAGACATTACTGCAGAGTTACTAGGTGACTTTGTCAAAGATCTACAAAATCACTTGAACACCTGATGAGCACCGGATTATCACTATTTGAGATTGAGGATCCTCAGAGACAGGTTAAATAGAAGTAGGTACATTAGCAGCCTTTCATGGATGAAACCGAAGTGTGTAGAGAAGTGGGTCCAAATGATTTGCCTGCTACTTTAGTGGTTTGAGTTGGTAACACACCAGACTTCAACGGCAGCGGTATTCCCCAGTATGAAGTTATTTGGGAAGCACCTGGAGCCACTTTTCTGTTCCAAGGTGTTAATTCAACTTTAGAAGTATCCCAAGACCTCATTTTTTGAGAAACTTGTTACATATTTTATGAATTTTTCTAGAGATTTCTCAGCAAAAGTTGCTATTAATGTGTAAGCTTTTCTGAAATTCTAAGCTCTAAACATTAGGAAAGAACAGTTTGGGTTTGCTTATTTTGGTATTTTTGAATATAGGATCTGAACCCGCGGCGGGAGCGTCGCTGCACTCCCAGCGCCGCACTCTCCCGAGTGCGCCACGGGATCGGCCCGAGAATTTATTTTTAATAAAATTTTTTTTGAACGAGTACTTAAAAGTTTTAATAAAGGTATAAAAGTGTGTACAAATCTCACACCTTTCCCATGTCTGATTTACCCTCTTCAGAGGTAACCATTATTATCGTCTTAACTATCCAGAGGTATTCTATGCATCTATAAGATTGCAAAGTAGGTGTATTCTTTGTTGCTATACAGATATTAACATACTGTCTACATTGTTCTGCACCTTAGCTCTTTTTTTTTTTTTTTTTTTTTTTTCCTTGTCCGGAAACGGATCGCAACCCTCAGTGTCGCCCCCTTACCGGACCAGGACCAGCAACAGGATCGCAACCC